TTCGCGCCTTTTCCCTCGGTTACTTGATTCTCCGCGACCTCAACGCTGGTTGCCGGCTGGGGCTTGTGGACAGAAAGTGGCTGATCGAAAGGCTGTGTATCACCTGGGTGGTTTGCTGCTTGGGCTTTCTGCCTGCAACCTTTTCCTGCCTTTGCAAGGCGTTTCCCGAGCTGATGTCCGATGACAAGGAGGGCGGCTATGGTACTTGGGGCGAAGTTCCGGTTTGGGACGGGTCGCCCATGACTTGGCGGGCCTTCAAACGTGAGATGTCTTGGTGGTTGTCTTCCCTTGACTTGGAGAGCACGAAGAAGTACAATCTGGCTGCCAGTTGGTTGCTCCGTCAATCAGGTACTGTGCGCCAACGACGAGAAGAGTTCACGCCAGCTGAGCTTGCGTACCAGAAGGCCGTTGAGTATCAGGACCCCGAGACCGGAGAAACCTTGACCATTACGCCTGAGGATCCCTTGGCTGGGATGAATAAGCTCTTCACCACCACCACCACCGCCGCCACCACCACCGCCGCCGCCGCCGCCACCGCCACCGCCGCATCAACAAATACTTTTCAGCATATCCGCCAAAAAATATCCTAATTTGATATTTATTTGCCAGCACGGAGTGGAGTTTAGAGGGGTGTAGTTCAAAGAAGCCCAACACGGGCTGGCTCCACAGCCATCCCATAGCCCGCATGAAAAAGAAAAAAGAGAGAAATGTGGAGCTTTCGTTCTCCTCCATAGCCCGCACGAAAGAAAAGGATGAAAATGTGGGTGTATGGGTGAGGTAATCAGCTATGTCCCTTTCTCCGAGCCTCCCCAGTCGGACCCCATGGACAGACCCAGCTTGCGGTGCTGCCGCAGCCCCTGTAGAGCTGTGAGAAGGCGAAGAAGAAGAGAGATGGGCAGTGCGCGGCTGTGGGGCGCAGCCCCAGCCGGCTTTTCGGGAGTCGGCAGAGCCAGTAGAACAAGAAGAAGAGAGAGATGACAAGGCAAGCAATGGTTGCTGTTCTTTGCTGCTTCAATGCGGAGACAGTGTACCACACCTGCTAACAGATAGACCGGACGGGTGGGGGGGGGCACGGGAGCGGGAAGACAAGCATGGGGAGAAAGCAGGTCTTGCTTTAAGGAGCACCATCTGGGATGGAGGAGGTGCCACAGAGTGAAACTCTGGCACGTCCATTCAGGACGACGCGCAGCATGCTCCCTCACACCTCTGACTCACATCACCCTTTACGAGCTGATATTTTTTCCCGGACTCACGATTTTCCACTTCCCGACTCACGCTGTTTATTTTTTTGAATCACGCGTTTTCTTTTCATGACTCACGCCTCATTTTCTCCTGGACTCACACCTTCCTTTTTCCTGATTCATGCTTCAAAGCATCGTGACACTAGCGCACAGAAGCAGTAGCAGCATTGCTGGAAGTGGTGGTGGTAGTAGAAAACAAGTAAGTGTAGCAGTACAAGTAGAACTAGGATGAAGCGGATGCAGGCAATAGGAGGGGGAGCAGGAATTGAAGATGGCACACGGGAGCTTGCAGCGAAGGCGTTTTTGCAATGAGGCATCCTGGAGCATCTTGCAGATCCACGTGTTCAAGATCTAGGCAGATATGAGAATGTGAGATCATCTTCTGAGTTTGGATGGCAGCCACCTAGACGGGACGGGCAAATCAAGTTGCACCAAAAAGTGCCACCATAGCTGCTTGTGTGCACGCATCAAGCGCAGGTCTCGACGTTGCCAAGGCACTGAAACAGTACTTCACCCTCAACGGAGGAGATGCTGGTAAGGAGGCTTTGCTGGCCCCTGCAGAGCTTAGTGCAGCTTTTCCTGTGCATGTGAAGGGCATCAAGCTTCACTTGCTTCGCGCTATCCAGCCGCGAATTGTGGAAATTCGAGAGCTGTGGCACGAGGCGCGCACCTTCAGAAGCTCACATTACACGTGAGATCCGAAGAAGCGCTGATGCAGTTGAGGTGAAGTTGGGAACCTTGCATGGCCCTGGCCTGGGCTGGGGGGTCGGAGACTTGGAGATCTCAATTTTCTTCCATTGTATGGCTTTGCATTGTGTTGCTTCAGTCAGGTAGCCGTGAACCCTTCCAACCTCTTTGTGGTACGGTCTTTCAGCCCAACGGAGAGGCCCAGCGCACGTGAAGCTCTAGCGAGGTAAGTGTGAGCCACGAACCTAGGTATTGGCCTGTCCAGAAGGTGGAGCGATCCAGTGCGTCTTGGGCCACCTGCTTGCAGTCAGACTTCGGTGGGTTGGCCATGCTCGCATCCAGAAATGCAGGTCGACACTGCGGCCTTTGAAGAAGCACGGGTACTTCTACTCCATCTTGAGGCCAGGCATTCGGCAGTACAAAGTGAAGTCATCAGCCATACTTCCTGTTACATGGGACACTGCCAATGCCTTGAGCAGGCAGTATAGAGCACCTGTGAATGGCTGATGAAACGCATGAACCTGACCATGAAGCTGATGGTACGCTTCCGCAACCTAGTCCAGGTTAACTGCAGGGCAGATGATCTCCACATCCCGTTCTCCTTAGATGGCCTACACCATAGCTAGCTGAACAGCCAGGTGATGAAGCAGGAGATGAAAGGGACAGCGCTGTGAAAAGCCCTGAAATTGACACTTTTAAACAGCCTGATCTGGAGATCGCTTGTTACGAGCGCATCAACCTGTCACGTTCCGTAGATGAAGTGCAAAGTACCAAAGCAGGGCATCACGGAACGATCACAATCATACTTCCAAGCAACCACAGCAGCTGGACGAGCTTCTGCCAGCATGAGCTTTCTTCCGACAAAGCTTTGCTGAGTAGTTGACCATTCCTGTTGAGGCATTGTTGCGGACCTTCGGCATCCTGGTTGATGTCGTGCTCTCAGTCGTGTAAATCAAATTCGGCAGACAAGTGGACTTAAGAAAGTCATACGTCCGGTAAGGTGCACACTCCATTAGCCAGCCAGTGTCCAAGAAATGTGCTGGCAATATCCAAGCAAAAGCAGCAGTTTTTTGCGAACTTGAGGTCTGCATGGCCTGAGCCTACCCTTCATCTCAGAGCTACTGGCGTGCCGCAGTCCCGCAAAACCGTGTCTGCAGAAGGCTAAGATGCTGGCTGTGAAGCACCAAGGCCATGCCGAAGATGAGCAGGAAGTGTCTCAGTACAAGCTGCTTGCTTGCCCCGTGCTTGGACCAGGTGCATGTTGTGTTCCAGCCAGAAGAGTTTTCTATCAGGTTCCATCAAGTACGGGTCTGCGGGCATTGATGTTATCGCAAGCATCGAAGGCCCTTGAATTCAGTGGAATGTCCCGAGTTGCTGGTATCTCCTGCTTTGAGCCAAGGCTCGCATCCTTCGTTGACTCGGCTATGAAGACTCCAATGGACATCGGACAGGTGCAGCGATCGGTGTCAGCATCGCCTAACTGGCTGGTCGTGTAGCTGTGCTTGTCCACGTCTCGACGATCTGGACATTCCTTGGAGTAAGCCATGGATGAGTGCCCCAGAACCACAAGGGGGCGGAGGTCTCCAGCAACTTGCTGCGTCAAGCTTGTTGCGCTCAGTGCGCTCTAAACTCAAATAGATGCCGACTTGAAGAGATGGCGCCGTGCAAAAAGCGTCCAAAACGCCTTTCAGCGTGAATCCCTGCTGTCCATCTTGCTCCTCGTGCTTCCTACATGCCATAGTTTTCCAAGGCTCGCTGAGAATGCAGCAATTCATGCAGTCGACATTGCGTATCTATCAAAGAAAAATCGTGAGATGGGAGCTCAATGTGCAAGAGTAAGTTCCTTGCTTCAGAAACATGGGGCAGATGTCACGGCTGGATGACGACCAGCTTCGTGAGCTTGTAGACAGGCGGCGCATGCGGGATGGAGGGCATTTTGGGCACCTGCCTGCAAGGGGGTTCAAGCGCCTGTTGAGTGCTGCGAGAGGCTCACAGACGATGGCTTCCTAGACTTCGTCCGGCGCTTCACTGAGGCTGCACAGTGATGCAGGCTAATTTGTGAAAGGATTCAGGTGTTTTGCTGAACACCGACGGCGTGCGGAAAAGATGCTAGAAAGTTGAGGTAGAACGACCAACCGAAAGCAGAGTCATCAGAATACGACAACATCAAATCTTGGCTGAGGAGACCTACAGCGAGCTTGCCTGGCAGTAGAATTTGGACCTTCAAAGATCTTCAAAGTCAAGGGTTGAGAAGCAAGATGGACATGAGTTTGACATAACATCCGAACAGAAAGCAGTCCTGAAGCTGAGTTCGGGAGTCTAGACAGCTGCAAAAGACCTCGAGACATGCAAAAGCTGGAAAAGTTGGCAAGAAGCTGGGACACGGCGGGAAAAATGTGTAAACATGCTGGCAGGAGCTGGAACAGCTGGAAAAAACTGACCACAAGGTGGAAAATTGTTGGACCAAACTTGTCTAGCATCTTGAGAGGCCTTTCTTGCTGCTTTTGCGCGACTTTTGCCACAGTTTCTTTGTATCTTCAGTCTTTTCACCTATTCTCGGATATCTTTAGAGTATGTTGTGGTTTGTCTGAGACAATGTCCAAACTAGAGAGACAAGGCGCAAGATGTTCCTGCACGGTGCCTATGCCTGTCAACTTGTCTCTCTGTTTTCAGGAGAATAGTGCCGTCTTTGCAAACTTTGACGGAGATGGAGAGCATTTGCAGAGCTCTCAGTGTGGCTCCAGCTGTGGATTGCAACGTTGTAGACACTTCCTTGCAAAGCTCGAAGGCATTGCTATAACGCGCTTCACGCACAGTCTTAGCCTCAGCTCTCCGATCATGGACAATTGCGTTTGCATTATGTGGTGAGGTATCAGCGTTTCTTTGAAGCCAGAGCTGAAGCCTGGCTTTGCAAGCGCGGCCACAGCAACTCACCCAGACTCCGAAGCCGGTGCTGTGTGCACAGACGAAAAGGGCATCCTTTGATCCGTTCACCTCGCATGCTGCATCTTGGCTCATGACAACTCCTGACTAAAGCTTGGCTTGCTGCGGAGCCGAGCGCGTTGTCCAGTCATGGCACCTCTCTGGAGTGAGCAGATCAAAGATTTCTTCTGTTTGTTTTGCCAGATCGTATGGGTTGTTTGTTTCTTTTTCGCGTGCATAGTGCGTGCATTGCTAAGGCCGTCCAGAACAGAAGGCTCGCTCTGCTGCCCATCCTTGTGGCAATCGCCCTGGGTGCTTGCTTGACATGCAGAGGCCCGTAGGTGTGTACTCTAGTCGCCAGAATCACTAGTTCGGGAGCTGTGAGTTTTTTCTGTGTAGCGGAGTCAAACTTACGGCATCGCTGAAGGCAGCACCTTTGTGGGCTCTTTGACGCTCAGCCAAAGGGTGCCCGCTGCAACCCGGCGTGAGGTCCGAAGGCTGTGCAAAACTTTGGAGCTCATCCTGTCTGTAAAAATGTTGTCCGCCTGGAGGTCACAGGATCCGCAATGCTTCAGAGTGCTGCGCACCACGAGGTGCGTCCTGGTGGGCACGAGCAGTTCTACTTAGAGAACCCAGTGCGCGCGGCCTTTGCAGCCGGATTGGCAATTTTGCTGGGACTGGGCTTTTTGCAGGCGCCGGCTTTTGCTGAGAGCAAACGAGTGGTGGGGGAAATTCCTGCATCTGGATTCATCTTCAAGGATACAATCAACGTGGAGGCTTTTGAGGATCCGAAAGTATCTGGAGTCTCGCTGTACATCTCGGATTTTTCTCGATCAATGGCCGATCGGGTTAGCAAAGGCGACTTCTTCTCAGATCCAGGGGCTGCCGGCCTGACATGCGCCAAGAATGGCCCAGTTATGATCTCCCCGGATCTGAAGCCAACCAAAGAGGGCGAAGATGTCTTCACAGAATCGCGAGCGATTCTCTTCAAGACACTGAAGGTCAAGCGCATCTATGATGCGGATGCGAAGAACATCCTTTATGTAGCTTTCACGGAGCGTATGGATAACAGCAACGACAGCAACAAGAGTCGCTTCAAGAGTCAAGTCTGTGCTGTACATATTGATGGAGTGAGGCAGAAGCCCTAGGATGCCACTAGGAGGCCATAGGAGGTTTCCTGCGTCGGACATACTCCTGGTTCATGCCATTTGAATGCATGGGTGCAGAGTAGCATTGTTTCGTATCGGGCGTCGGTTGTCAAAACGTGCGTGTTGCTGTGCGCGTGGCGGTGTTAGCTGCGAAGCTAGTGTTCTTTCTTAAGAAATGCCAGGCAAGAGACACGCAGCAATAAATTGGGCGTATATCCTCCCAGGCCTTGAAGCGTTTCAAGAAGCTGTGCAGCATGGAGGCTGTGGAAGATTAGGATTGATGCCCAGCAACTAGGTTTTGTCATCATTCAGCGCCACATGCTTGCAATTGGGTGCAGGCCTTGCGCGAGACATTGCTGACTCGCTGCTGGCAGTCTCCGACTACCAGGAGCGGTCTTCACTTGTGTTCTCCGTAGTTTCCTGCTATTTCCAAGACATCAACCACTTGGCATGAGGCCTTCGTGGCGCTAATGCAGCGACACTTGTTTTCAGATGCCGATGGCATCGACCCGTTGCAGGCGCGGTCTTAAATATAGAGAGCTATCCTTAAAAGCCAGCCCATGTTCCCAGTACAAACCATAGCTGCTAGTCTGCAACGCAAGCCTCCAGCTGGCCTGCAGGATGTTAGGGTGGCACATGATTGCCTGGAAGAAACGGTTTCTTGCCAGCTGGGCTTAACACCTTGAAAGCGCACTGTCGTAGAAAGCACTGCGAGAATAAGATTCTGGAAGTTGGCTTTCAGGGGAGAACGCTTACAACGCCCGATGGTCCTCTTTTCCCTTTAGAGCTTTACAGTCGAGCTGAGTTCGGGAAGGTCAGTGTTAGCTTGCCAAGAGAAGTGCATCACACAATCTTTGGGCCAGGCACCGGATGCGCTTGCACCGGCTACAGGCCTTCAATGCAATGACAAGTGCAGCTCAGCTTGCCCATGTCAGTCTTTGCTCTGGAGAAGTGTGCCGAACATGGAGATGGTCTGTGTAGGTCCAGTGCTTGATCTAAAACTGGTAAAACAGAGAAGTGTGTAGTTGCGCATGTATTTCCTTCATGATCTCCAGTTCATGCATTGAGCATGGGAGACTTCCAACAGACATCAGGAAATGCTCCCCAAAAACATAAGTGCAAGGGAGCTCCTAAAGGCTTGGGGCAGTGCTGTACCACGGAGACGGGCCTTGCAGTGCGTGTGAGGAGCATCTTTAATGAGCTGGCTTGCTCTAAATCGCATGTGCATCAGCATCTCTGCTTGTTAAAGAGACGTGTTACTGGCTTTGTTTTGAAGACGATGGGCTAGGTTGGCCCTGGCAACAAATCTTCACGTTAGCCCAAGTACTCTAAGATCATAAGTTCTCTTCGCAAACACTTCAGATGCTGAGACAACAATTCCACGAACCAGGATCAGTCGTCTCATAGATGAAACTATCAGGACGCTCACCAAGTGGGTGCATGAAGCTTGAGAGCAACAAATGTTCACCCTGAATGCATTTTCCCAAGCGCCTGAACTTCGACGGGCTTTGTGGGCCGGAGCATACCCGGCTTGCCTTGAGAAAGGCCTGGAATGCACAGCCGAGGGAGTCGAGGCTCCTCGGAGGCCGGGAGAACTTTGGAAAACATGGTTTTGGGTTTGTTTTATTGCCCACCTTCTGGGACTGTTAGATTTTAAGGAGGTTATGTTCTCCTTTGAAGGGGCTATTCAAAAAGTCTTGTATAGCCTTTATAACCCCTTTGAAGGGACCCTATGTAGGCCTTATAGCACTGCTGAACCTATATAGGTAGTCCTTCTAATCCCTTTAAAAGAGACTTTGTGTGGGCCATGTAACCTTTATACCCCGTTTAAATGGGGTATAAACGTGGGCCTTATAACCCCTTTAAAGGGACCTTACATAACCCTTATGTAGGCCTTTTTTAAACTTTGTGTCCCGCGAGATTAGTTGAGTAAGATCAACCAGGCTCGGTCAACAACCAGGGTGGGGATGCTCGAAGTAAGTAAGCACCTCGAAATGTTGTGGTTCGGCAGGCCCGGTGGCGGCTACTGTGGCTTCGCCTCTGAAACAGCCTCCTGGCTTCATGTTGCACGCTGCATGCAGACATATGCAGGCTGACAACATGAGCGTTGCAGTGCTGAACACGTGTGATGGCTTTTGCATGTGCCATAGCTTGAAGGCGGGTTTCAACAGCTGATGATGCGTACTAGCTAGATAGACGGCGAAGCTGTTCTTGTCAGTTATGTTAGACCTTGCAAAGCAAGAGTTGTGGCCAGCAGCTGAAGTGCAGGCTCCTTTGAAAACTTGCACTTGACATGCCAGGGAACATGCATGCAAAGACAGACAAACCTGGAATGAAAGTAGCCGCCTGAAGCAGGGTCTTTTGCTCAAGAGGCAAACCCTGCAAAGCAGAATGCCGCAGCTGTAAATACCACCTGAAGCAAGCAGCGCAGCATGACATACGGATCAAATGTCAGCCGGATTCTTGACATTCTGATTCCTGCCAAGTAGCTATATTCTGGTTGGCCAAAGCCGTGAGGATCATGGTGCTTCCCGGCAGCACCCGATTAAAGACTAATCGTTTGCAATCCAGAAGTGTAACAAATCCCTGCGCATCAGGCAGCTAAAGCTGAAATGGAACAAAGACGAATTCGATATCGACATCGAGGAAGGATCCACCGTCGAGGTTCCTGCGATCAAGGCAGTAATGAGTAGCAACCAAGCTGCAGCCGCCGAGGTCTTCAAAACACAGGTTTGGACTTTGACTCAAGTGCCCATGGATAGGCAGAGCCATGGAAGCACCAGGAAGAGATGACAGCCTTGATATGTCCAAAATCGTTTTGGGCGCTATCTCGTCGTGCTCAGGAAGTTTCTGGGCTTTCCCGGCGGTATGCTGAAGGATACCGACGACCTGATGGCCAAGGTCCCTGGCAGATAGCTTCAGTAAAGTACGTGTTTAAAGCCGCTGCAGTCAGCAGGTGGCCAAGCTGAAGCCAGGGCAGAAAGTTCAGCTCATGGGCACTCCAGAGGCCATGCATGACAAGCAGCTTTTCTGCGTCTTCAGCGGTCTCATGCGTGCTTGTTTTTCCTGAGACCGTTCAGGGCAAAGAGTTGAAAGCTCCAGAGGAGAAAGTTGTTTTCGAAGAGGATCTCTCTCCCGAAGAGAAGGCAAAAATCTTGAAAGAAAAGCCTGGACCCCGGTCATCTCAAGTGCCGTAAGTTGCCTGTTGATGCAAGCTGGCAGGAAGGTGGAAATTCCACCAGCCGGAATCAAGAACCTGGGCAACACCTGCTACATGAATGCCACCCTGCAATGCCTCAACAGAGTAGGAGATTTGAGAGAAGCTCTCAATCAGTACCAGCCACCTGCGACCGAGGCCCGACCTGTCAGTTACGAGTAGGTCCAGTAGCTGCTGTGATAAGCCAAGCCGCGAGGTAAGGGACATTGATTCCGTCTCAACCTGAGCTTCCGTCTGGAGCTCCATGTCATTTCCAGAATTCGCCAGCTCAGCTAGCTACATTGCCAGGTACTCACGGCCCAGCTGAAAACCGTGAACTCACAGCTGACCAGCACGACTGATTCAATCGTACCGATGCAATTTGTGATGGCGTTGCGACAGCGGTTTCCGAGGCCGTGCATGCGCTTTTAGTCTGCTAGTTCTGCTGCTCCGCCTTGTCGCAGCACATGATCACTTGCTGTGGATCCCCCGCTGTGAAGGTTTGCAGAGATGCAGAACGGAACGCCAATGCAGCAGGAAGCGGTGCTGCTTTCAGACATGCCCGAGGCTTTTGAATCTTGTGCTGTTGCAGGATGCAGATGAGTGTCTCCGAGGGTTGCTCACGACTTTGTCGGGGACCCTGAGAGGCAGCAGCGAGTCTGCAAACAGGCCAGTGCTTAGAGGGCTTGTTTGGAGACAAGCTTGCTGGTGACTCCTTGCCAGGATAGATGAACTGTTTGGCTACAAGCTCAAGTCCACACTGCGATGCTTAGAGTGTGACGAAGAAGCGCCACAGGATACTATCCAGAGCGCTTATTGATAGATCTCTGATGGTTACCATGCCGTTGCACAGGAAACGGAAGAGATGAGCCGCGTGTTGCTGTGCCATCTCGGTACTCAGACAGATCCCGTCTCGCACATCACGCAAGGTGCTGCTTGTCTGAAGGGCACATGTTCAGAAGGTGACGCGAAGCGTGGACGTAGTGGCTCTGTCCATGCCAAGTTCCAAGGTACAGCTGTCTCTGAAGGAGCACATCGAGAAGAATTCGCCAGTCCTGGGTCGCAACGCGCAGTACGAGAAAACGTCGTCCATTGCAAGCTTGCCACCCTTTCTGGTTGTCGGGCACTTGGAGCCTCTTTGCCCGTTGTTGCCCGTGATGGTGTAAAGATGTGCCATTGACGAGGTCCAATTTGCGAGATTTGGTTACAAAGGAGCCAACGAGTGGGCTGGCACCAGTGCCTCAAAGGTGAAGCTGACGCGGAAATGCGCCTTCACACACACTTTTGACATTTTCGACTGCACTTCTGATGATGTGAAGAAACGACTCTCTGTGTCTTGGCACATCTTGGCACTTCAAGCTATGGCAGCTATGGGAATTCATCCATGTAAGGTTGGGCGAGTGAAGAAGAAGGAACAGGAAGACAAAGAGTTGGAGCGGCAAAAGGCCGCGTTGGATAAGGGCCACCTGACTGCAATTGCAAGCGATGAAGGGACAGAGCAGGCTACAAGCAATGTCGAAGGTGTTCATGCCTGCTTGCCAGGGACGAGATGCTCACTTCGGCTTTGTGGGGAATTGGGGGAAGGGGGCTACTTACTAACAGAGACGCAGAGCTAAGTGAGCTTTTCAAGTTACATCAGGGTGAGGTCCCTGGTAGCCGAAACTTTCTTCCAGGCATTGTGGGATTCAGTGGCTTGTAAATTCAGAGTCGGCATTTCTTTGTGCCATTGGTCTACAGAAATTGTTCAGCAGATTGCGTGGAGGGCTTACGTACGTCGTCCAGGCACGGTATGTCCGTTTCTTTTTCCCGTGCCCAGCTAGTCTTAGCAAATCGTAAGCGTTTCAGCGCGCTGCTGCTGCCCGGAACATGACACTGTCATAGCCATGAGCTATCCAGAGCGCAGAATTCTGAGTTCTGAGGCAGCTCTAGCGCTGCAAAGGAGGAAGATGTGGAAATGAAGCCGGCAGAGGATGCTTGGGCTTCTGACACTCTGCTGGACACAAGCTACAGCAGCCCTGACAACACTTATCTGTGCAGGACTCGGAAATGCAGTCTGTGGGCGTCGAGGAGCTGGACACCGGTTACTATCAGCTTATTGGAATCGTATCGCACAAAGGTCGAACTGCGCGGCGCTCATTTGCCATCTCAACTGTTCTGTCCCTGCCATTTATGTCTTTCTAGACAGTAATTGGGCAACACTGCAAGTCTTGCACCTGTATTGATATGAGGCTGATGGAGGGCACTATGTGGGCTGGACACTGCACAAAAAGGCTGATGGCAAAGACATCAAGGCACTGGACACGCTGCTCATACCATCGTCGTGTTTTGCCGGTACATGTAACTAGTGCTCGGCATGCAGGATGACAAGTGGGTTCTCTTTGATGACGACGAGGTCAGCTTTGTGAATTGGAAGGACATGACAGGAATGAGCACAGACCTTTGCGGCGGAAAGGCAGATACTCAAATCGTTCCGCGGTTGGCATTGGCGGCTTTTCACTAGCTGTTGGTCCATTACCGCCGTGTGCAAGAACTTTCGCAAAGATGGTTGATGAGAAATGTTAGGTTTCATCTAACTGGACTCTGATCAATAAATGCTTGTTTCCGAGGCGTACATCAACATCTACCAGAGGATAACAGTCCTGGCGGACCCTGGCCAAGCTTTGGGTAGCGATGCCGGGGAGAAGGCTGAGAGCGGCTACTCTTCCAAAGAAGACGTGAAGATGGAGGGGCAGTAGGAACTAGCTCTGGAGCCCTGCCCGCCCTGCGCAGCTTCAGGCAACCCCACCACCCTCATAGCCCAGTAGCTGCGAGAAGCTGCGAGAAGCTGCGCATGGGAGCCTTGCAAGATCCTGCGAAAGTACAGGCGCACAGCAAGTGAGAGACACAGCTATGATGGCGCGTTGCCAGCAAAACATTGATTGCATGATTGCATGCCATGTTGCTAGCAGCTAGCAGCCATGCTCTCAGACAGTCAGTGTCATTGAGCTACGAATTCTCCGCAGCTATCCGGGCAACACGGAGCACATGGCTTCAGGGAAGAGGGTCCAAGGCCTGGAGCGTGCAGTTTTGACCAGAAGCCGGAGCCCTGCTCAGCGGCTAAGCTTCAGGCTGGCGGCCACTTGAGGCCAAGAAGGTGCTGCAATGCGCTGCATGTGAACTTCGGTCTGCTCAAAGTGCGACAAAGCTGCAGAGGCTCCCTGGGAGCACAGAAAGCCACCCAGACAGGCACGATACAGCTTGACTGTGATAAATTGCGTGTATCCGTTTGCACACAGGTCGAGGGCCCCCCTTCTGTCCCGCATGTTGACGAGGCTGTTGTATGGGGCGCTTCTTTGAAGAGAAGGCATGCTGTAGAAAAGTTGAATGTGGATGAGAGGAGCGTGAGCAGAAAGAGATCCTCGAGCTGTTTCGCCAGGGCCGAAAGGCGCAGCGCTGTTTGAACCCAGCTCTATAATGCTGCAGGGTCGCGTTCACGCGCGCAGAAATGCGCGCACATGGCAAAATCCGTGGCCCTGCCAGTGATTTCTAGCTTTGGGAG